GCAGGGACCAGATTCAGAGAGAATGCTGGGACAGAGAGGAAGTCAATCTACTTCTGGAATATGAGTATTTTTCCATAATCAACTTTGACTGGATGGGACAAAGTAAATCTCTTGAGTTCCCAGAAAGACCAGGAAGGAAGCAAATTCCTTTCCCAGGGATTTCAGCTGTAAAGCAGCAGCAGCCAGGCAGGCCACATAAGGAGAAGTTACTTTGTCAGGAAACGACAGTCACGTTTTCAGCACTCTTGGTGACAGTCCCAGAAAAAAGTCTGTGCTATGAATGGCAAAGTTTTGCCTTCTTCAGCTTTCCTCCCCTCTGATTCAGTTGACTGAAAGAGGAAACAGTGCTGCACGTCAGGAATCTTCTAGGTCAAAAAGAGTAACTGGCCTTTCCTTTTACAAGCACCCTTTCAAAGCAGGTCCGTCTGAGGCTCCTGGGTCTTTCTGTCAGTCAGTTCAAGACACAGGCTTACCAGGACACTCTTCTCCAGTCTGTGCTCCTTAAACTTCTGGGTTAAGAACAGTCACCCTGCTCCATCTGAGCTAAGACATAATTGCTTCTTTCAAGCTGGAGGGACTCTATTTTCTCCTGTGCGTATTTCAGTTGGATCTTTAGGGCGTCATTGTCTGCTTTCAGGGTATTTATTTCCTAAAGGGAAGGGAGAACGAGGTGTGTTAATAAAGCAGCAGTGAATAGCAAATCAGTTACAATACTGGAAGTTCTACACTTGATTGGCATTTCCCATTCACTGTGTTTGAGAATTAAAAACTATTTTCAAGACAGTTATTTTGCCCTGAATAGAAAACGGGTAAGTATCAAATGAGCATGTGCAAACAGCAATTAGTCTTTGTTATTATACGAAAGACGTGAGTGGCTAGCAGGCAGAGTAAATGATTTCCAGGCATTAGGTGGATAATGCCAAGACCTCTGGATGTTGCAGAGCAGAAGCAGTCTTTTGTCAGGTTTGGGCTATAAAAGCAGTGACTCAGAGTACTGTCATTGTGTGAGATCTGACAGTTCATATAATTTAGGGCTTTTGTTTCCTAAATCATTGAAAACTAATATCCCCTTTGATAAAGATAAGACTCTTACCCCACCTCCTAAACTGGGGTGTAGTGATCCACTTCACAGCTGTGTAGCTAGAGTCCACAGTAGATCTCCAGTCTTCTGACTTGGAGTCCAGTGTTCATACCCCACTGACTATTCCCAAAGGACATATGGGCAGTTTGGGTACGTAAGGCTCTTCTCAACCGGCATTACCTAGAGAGCTATCAATTCACTGCTTCTATACAGTGAAACCTCTGAAAGCTGGAACCTGTGCAAGGTGGAAACCTGTCAGAGAAGGAAAACTCGAATATTTTCCACTAAAACAAGCGATAGAAAAGTGGTCAAGACCACACCCTGTCAAAGGTGGAAAACTTGTGAGACCTGGAAAAGCAAGGCAGTCCTGCTGAGTTCCGGCTCTGTGGGTTCCCCTGTGATGCTGAGCCCCTGCGCTGTGCATTGTACTGTGCTGCATGATAACACAGCATCTTCATCCTCACAACAGCCTGCAGACAGGTGGTGTCCCAGTGTTAGAGAAGCAGAAAATGGAGCTGTCACATAGTATGAAGATTTGAACCTAGGTACATCCGACCCTAAGGGCCTTTGCCTTGTCTTTTTTCCTGTGCTGGTTCAGAGGTCTACACATACAAAATATTAAAATACTAATGTATATTATGGATTATTTTAAATACTGTTTTAATTTGGCTAGTTATTGTAGGTGGGACTGTTGAACTAGACAAGTCACAACAGGGATTTTACTCATGGGGAAAGTGGGACTCGTTGGTGTTCCTCTGAAACGTAGAGAGAATTCCGGTCTGTAGGCCCTGCCACCAGGGTGAGAACAAGCAGGTGACAGAGAAGATGGTGAGAGGGCTTACTGATGGGTAGGGCTGGGCCTAACTCACCTGCTTTCTCTGCCACCTACTTCTTGCATAAGGAAGTCATGGTCACCCGCTAAGTGTCCCCTTTCAAAGCAGGCCAAACATCAGAGTGTGGAAGCAGACCTAGAGAGCACGGAGCCCAAGCCCCATATTTTACAGGTGACCGGTCAGGACACAGAGTTTACCAGCTGGCAAAAGAAACATCTGGGACTGAAAACAGAGCTTTGTCTCCAAGACCAAAACTCTTTCAGCTCTATTGAGATCATCTTTCAAAGTTCCTTTCATTGTTCTGAAAAGTTGCTTTTGGCAGTTTCTGCTCCTAAAGGGGGCTTTGTCTAACCCACATTTTGCCACCTGATTGACTTGATTCTTGAAGCACTTCTTAAAAAGACTCGGGCAAGACAGTCCCTTTCATCCAGAAAATCGGTTTTTCATTTGGTCGTATGTTCTTCACATATATTATCTAACTTGTTTCATTCAAATGTTTCTCTAGTTCAGCTCCTGGGAGTCTAACGGGGAAGGTACAACACTGAGGGCAAGGCGGGGAATCCTGAGGCCTCTTGGCTAGCTTCACTACGTAAATGCAGGACTATTTAAAGAAATTTAACTAGGTGGATGTTGGTTTTGGGTTTGTACTAATAGGCCTCCAAAAACAGGGCAAACCTTGATGCTTTGGGAGAAAGACAGACTTAAGGAATTCTCCTTTAACAAAATGAATGATAATGTTGAAACGAATGTATCCTTGCATTCCTGTCTTAAGTTATCTACAGTTGGTAAGAAACGACTGTCCCGAGACAAGGGGTTTGTCTAAGCAAACCCTGTACTCTAAACAACAAGTACCTTCATAATGAGCCCTACAGAATGGAAGACTTGGACAACTGCATCTTGTCCCTAGCTGAAGGTCCTTCTACTCCGTGTCCCACTTTCCCTTCTCCTTTCCCTTCCCTTCCCCATTTGTTCCCCTGCGTTTTCTTGTTAAAGCTTCTCTGTCCCCGGCTCCCAACCTTGGTACCACATTCCCAAACGCCTGTATTCCTTTTCTTGGTAAACTTAATTACGCCTTTTCCAATGCCTCCATGATGTGTCTTGTAATTAGGACACCGTGAGCCTAATTTAAAACAGTTCCTTGTGCCACAACTGTTACGCTTTTATACATTATATCGCTATATGTGCATTTGCTTGCTGCTGTTGCTTTAGCTGCTCCAGTGTGTGCAGAAGGTAAGCACACTCCCTGAGGTGTTAGATTTCCCTCATTTACATTAAGAAGGAGGCTTTTTCTGTGGTAACTTACACTACATTCTCCTTTTTTCCATTTTTATTTTTGTAGTACTTAGATCACCTGCCTTTTTGGGGAAGATGCCCAGGCAACTGTGAAGGTCCCAAACCAAACCCTGATAAAACAGGTTAACAAAGGCCTCTTAGAGGGAAAGATTTGAGTAGGTTACACCAAAAAAAAAAAAAAAAGGTGGGGGGTGGCCTTGGTAGCACAATAAAGCGACCCATATAAACTGATTTTTCTCAGTGGGCCTGCTGTGAACAGAGCTTTGGGGCGCTGGCACCACTGGAGTATCAGGGAACTGGTACATCCTGTTCTACTCATGCAGTGTGAACCTGGGCCCACACTGGCTGCTTTGTGAAGAAGCCAGGATCGGTTTCTCTTTTTATTTGGCTTGCTTCTTTTTTTTGTTTTATCCAGCTAGTAATCAACCTGCTCTAAGTTCACTTCATGTGCTGCTCCGGGCTTAGCCCCAGTTCTCTTCCTCTCCACGTTAAACCTCCTGTATTAAATGTGAGACGCCGCTCTCCCCCCTCTGACAACTTGGGAGGAGAGAGTCTGAAAGAGGAAAGGGAAAGTACCTGTTCCAGCTCTTGGAAGCTTGGCAGTCGGAGATGACGGAGCTCCTCCTTCGACTTTATGAGGGATTCTTTATTCTCCCACTTGACAAAAGCCCGCTTTCTTACCAAGACCGGGCTGGGGCACGGCGATGGGGGACTGGGAAGCAAGTGGAGAGTGTCCTGCGCTGCCTTCCTTGGGGAGGATAGCACAAAAGGACCAGAAGGACTGTCACCGCCAATCCAAGGCAGAGGCTCCGTCTGCGTGGCCTTGTGGGCGACAGTCCGCTTCAGCCGAACAGAGATCTTCTGTGGTGACACGCCCATCAGCATGATGGTCCGATCTTTGCTTTCCTCACTGTGCCCCACAGCCTCCCCGTTGGGAAATGTAAAAGGTCCCTCCTCAGGTCCTGTAGGGAGATGGTGACACGTTACTACTCCAGCCCAGAAGGGCTAGATCGACGCATTAGTCTCAGATGAGACCTTACTGCTCTAGGAGTTCCGGAGGCCCAAACTGGACATTTTGAGGCACCGGATATAGGGAGAGAGTGAAGGCTGAACTCCAGAGGCTTTGCTGGCCAAGCCACAGCCACTGGTATCAGCCTGCGCCCACCCTGAGGAAAGGGCATCTTTTCCTGTTTTGCACAGAGGTTGCCTAGAGGATTCCTGTTTCTGTAGGTAAGTTGAAACTCCTGCCTCAGTTCGGTAGTTTCATGAATTAAAGGGATAAGAGTCAGTACAGACAAAAGTGCTCCATAAATACTTTCTGTGGACCCTGGTAATCTGGGACCTCTGAGTACTCAAGTTTCGGTCCTGATGCAGGTGCTCTCCAGCAGCTGGTAGGAACTCTGTGGGACCCATCTGCCTGCTTGTACAATGGGGCATAGCCTAACTGTGGGGAAAAGGTTCTAGCTGTGTGGAAGTGAGTCCCAAAATGTGCCGTCCTCATTCGGTACGGATGGGGAAAGGACAAAGGAGTCAACTTTCGGTGTTTTTGAACCAACACCCTGCCTAGGGCCCGGTCCGGTAATGCTAACCATGAGGAATAATTTCTTGGAAAAGCTGAGTGAAAGTGGACATATTTGGGGTGGGTGGCAGGCTTTAAGGTAGACTGCCGATACTCAAGTGACTGTTCTGCAGACTCAGCAGGAATTCTGGGCTCTCTGGAAAGTCAGGTCCTGTACAACATTTATTAATAAACACAGATGGTGGATTCTAGTCAGGCTTTTGTTAAATGGTGATGGAAAAAAAAAAAAATCTCCCAGGGTTTGAGAAATTAAATGATTATAGAAGAAAAAGTGCTTTTTAAAAAGTATATATTTCTACTGAAACATTGTATTTTTCTATTATTACTGAGTTTTGTAGCTAAGACACTGGATTGGTATAGTTGAAATGGCTTCCGGACAACAGAAAAAGTCCTCTAATTTGTAACCTAAGTCATCAGTTCTAATAGTAGAAATCTTATAATTACCTACTTTAGTTTGTAAGTAATGAGCCTGGCCCTGGCCGCCATCCGTGCTTTAGGCAGTTCTGGTCTCTGCTACTCTGCACAGATCAAATCCCCGGCCGCCTCTGCCTGCTTCTGGACCTGGACCAGCAGGCCGGTGGGCCTCAGCCCCCACTAACTGCAGTGTGCTTTCAGTACATTTCTGAGCTGGAGACACTTGTTTTGTTTGGAGTACAGCTGTGCCTTTTAAATTAATATCTTATTTCTATACCGTGTGTTATGTATTCTGCATGTTACGGCACACGCACCCATACACATGCATATACCTGTTCTCCCTGTCATTGTTTTGAGTTTGGGATGAGGATAGAGGGGGCTGGTTAAATGTTAACTTGTGGCAGTCTTGGCCAGAGGTCAGTATCTGCACTTGGTGTAAACCAAAAAGCAAAACCAGTTGTTACAGAGTCAGTTCCGACTCATGGCGACACCAAAGGCCGTGAACTTTTCGGAGCAGATCGCCATGCCTTTCTTCTGACTCACCTTTGGGTAGGTTCTGACTGCCAGCCTTTTGGTTAGTAGTTGAGCGCTTAACTGTTGGCACCTTCCAGGGACTCCTGCTCTTGCTGTAGGTGCTCAGTAAACATCTGTTGATTTTGTGCCTAATTTGCCTTCTGCTATTCAGCTCCCTTAGGTCTGAGACCTAGGCTGGGAGCTGACAGTCCAGAACTGTGGGAGGGGTCAGCCCTGGCCTAGCAATTGGGGCCAAGCTTAACTGAAACCCAGGCCCTAACAAGGTACTCTTTCCTCCTCCGTTCTTTATCCCCCCCGTCACTTTCCAGCATCTACTTACCGTGGAGCAGGTCTCTGGCTCCCAGTGAGCCAAGGCTGGACACTGGCCCCACAGAGGAGCTGCTCTCCGCAGGAGCCGTTGGGGTCTTGGCTCGCTTCTTGCACTCGAACACAACCAGGTCTTTGCATTGTTTGTGGCAGTTCATCCCGCAGTCTGTGGACAAGACACTTGGTCAGGATGTCTCTCTCTCCACCCCCAGGCTCTCAAAACCCAATTCATGCAGTGCTCTTCAGTCACACACGCCTGTCCTAGCTTCTGGAGCTAGGACGCCAAACATTCCCAACAGGCCTAGCAGTTTTCTCACTTGGTAAAACCTGGATTTCACTGTCTTGTTATAGCCCTATCAGTGACGCTCAGAATCAGAGGCAGCGTCCTGTTATTTCAGAGAGAAATAACATCCTGCACATACTACCTGCTCTAAGGAGACCATCTGGTGAAATTCACTCCTGAGATTTCACAGGTACAAGGAAGGACAGTGAATGCCCTGCGGTATCTACCTAGGAAGGGAGCTGACAGGGGCTTTGGGAACTCTTTGTCTTCTGTTCCAGAAGTGATTCTGCCCCTTTCTTTGGGGACCCACCCTTCATGACTGTTAGAGGGTGGACTCTCCTACCAGCCATCCGTATACCCAGGGCGAGAGAGGGTCCTGTAAGGGGATGTGGCATGACTCGCCACCCGGGCCTTCCTTTCCCGTGTGGTGGCAGTCCCTCTCGGGTGCTCGAGGGGATGAGGACATGAGCTCTGCCGAGAAGCCGTGGACTGCATGGACAACTACAGGTAGAAAATGCTCTTGAGGAGAGCCCCATAGACAGACCAGGGAAATCGAAGCCATGGGCAAAGCTGAGCCTTACCTTTGCATCGATATCCTTGTTTGATCACTCCCCAGAGCTGCGAGACAAACGAGCCAGTTAGAATGCACAGGTCCTTCAGGCTACACACTGATACCCATTCTTATTTTCCCCGATTCCACTGCCTACTTCAAGTGGGAGGGAAACCTCTTCTCTCTCATATGCCTTGTCTCTCCTGACCTTAAATCAGAAGTAGCAAAAGTTTGTGCGGATCAGAGTCAGATGTGCTTGAGAAGCTCACTATAGTGGATTCATGATCCGGGCCTTCTCCGGGCCTGAAATGAGGGAATCTCAGGATAAGCAGGCTCCTCAGGGCTCCAGACTGAGGAACATGAATGGAGTTCTGAGGTCAGGAGCTCCGTTTGGGAGGAAACTACTGGATGGGGTGGGATGGATGAGGGGCAGAGCACGATTTCTTCAAAGGCAGTTCCTTCCACACAAGGGGTCTCCCATTTCTTTTGCCTAACATTTGAAACAGCATACAAATACTTCCAACATTTCCACATCACTCCTCTCAGGCTTTATCACCAGGGAGGGAAACACATCAGGAGGAAGTGGGAGGAAAGATGAGAACAAGTGTTACTCCAGGCATTTGCTTAGGCTCTAAGCTGGGATGCGTTAATAAGACTCCTGAGGTCTGGGCCTGTCTTTACCATATAAATGTCCTGTACCCTTCCCCAATTTCACCCTTCAAGCACTCTAAGAATAACTTACAAATCCAGCACAGTTGTCACAGAAGGTGGGCTTCAAGTAGGTGGTCTCTTGGAAGTTGTGAGGAAAGCCCAGGCCCAGCTTGGAGTAGATGGAGCTAGCCCTCATGAAGTAGGCCGTGATCTCATCCCTGCTGATGAGGCCCTCCCTGCCGGAAGTGACAGAGGCAGGATGTGAGCCAGGCCTGGGTGCGCGGGCTGGTAGCGAGGGTGGATTCTAGCCCTAGAAAATGGCCTTTCTTTGTACTCTGTGGTGCTAGTCAGTGTGTATTATAACCTGATGATCACGTCCTTGAGCCCTCCTCTTAGTACGGGTACATGGATGGTGTGTAAGAAGTACGTGAGATGGCGTTACTCACGTCCATGGAGTTGGTCTTTGGCTAAAGTAGCCTTTCCTAACTAATCTGACCACTGTCCATGAGACTTGAAAAAGAAATGATGTAAAATGTATGCAAACGGAGGGAAATGCCTCACCCCACAGTTTCTGACTTCGGACAGTGCAAAACCAGAACCCACCAACCGTACATTTGGTTTCATGTAGAGAACCAAGATAGAACCTATGTAACCTTGAGCAAAGTCGATGTACAAAACATTGATAAATAGTAGTTTCCCATAATCCTTAAGGACAAAGCAAGAAGAAAGACTGAAAATTTTCTTGTTTACAGTTGACTTGCTAAGCTGGTAGATGAATGAAGTCTTCACTCCTGAGGTGTTTGTAAAAGCATGCACTTTTTACGTGGTCTGCTGTGCTCCAGACTAAAGGCCAAGCATTCCTCTGATGAGAGCTTGCTCAGCTCCAGATTCTTTAAGGGACTCCGGCAGCAGCACACCTGAGCTTAGAGTGGTCTGGTGACACCCACTAACGCGGCTTTCCAATGAGTCTAGTGGCACACCCATAAACCTGCTCTCACTAACTAGGGCTCCTAGCCACATAGTCCTGTCCACAGATCCTCACCTGTCTTTGTCCATCACACAGAAGGAAAACGGAAAACTTGCAGCAATCTTTTCAAACTCTTCCTGAGAAATGTATCCATCCTGGTCATGATCATAGTTCTTGAAGACAGACTATGAAAAAGGAGTTTCTTTGGTGATTCCCAGAGAGAAACCAGTCATCTCTCCCTTTAGCCAACTGACAGGGGCCTGGGGTGGCTGGGTTAAAGCCCCCCATCAGCCTGAATGAGAGGAATGAGGAAACACACCCCTTAAATTCTAGCAAATCCCAGGCCTTTGCGGGTACCAGCACCTGGAGGCTGGCCATGTGCTTTCGGTTCCGTTGGCTCCTCAATTACGCCGTCACCTCTGGCTACTGTGAACTCCTGGTTCATGGCACAGAGGCCTGTGCCCCCTCCGCTCTGCCCATCTGTCGCTGCTTGGCTAGACTGCACTTGCTCTGTGCAGCGGCTCTGGACAGCTTAGCTGCAAGTGCTCCCCACCGCCCAGTCCCACACCCGTTAGTCTGGCACTCGTTAGTCTGGCACTCGTTGGCTCTTAGCTTTCTGTTGATACCCTGGAGGATGAACAGTGGCCCACGAGGAGAAAGTATATGCCCCCGCCCAGCACTTCCCATAGCGCTTTGGATCAAGCAATGCCAAAATTTTCCATTTTAGATTTTCCTTGTCACCCTCACTTTTACTCAAACGTTTCCCAACACCTCTCTGCCCCCAAGTCAGCCAGCCACCTTTAACCATACGCTCTCCTGCTAGGTCTTCAGTAGGAGACACCCCTCCCCCAGTATGAGCCAGTGTGTGGGCAAAACGTCACTTCTGAACCGTTCTGCAGCCACAATATGAGAAGTCGGTGGTTTCCTCTGCTCACACGTGAACAAGTTTCAAGTTTCTCGCCCTCGGTTCCCACCACCGTGCTCCCCTCCCTGCTCTTCCACATGCAGGCCTGAAGCAGGCAGTTCCTTGCTTTTGCCTGAGACACAGCGGTACTTACGTCCACCATCCTCTGGACATGCTTGCTTATGGTCTTTGGGTCAGGTTTGGGAGATACTCCTGAGGCCCAGTCCACCACGACTGGTGGCTTTGAAGGTGTCAGTGGCTAAAATGAAATGTTCAGAGAAATTCTCATGACTGTGATGCAATATTATAATCTGCAGCTCCTTCCTTTCCCACTGGCTGACAGCTGAATCCATGGACAACCCCTATTACGGGCAGTGCAAGGAGCAGAGCCGTATATAACTGAATCTGTGACAGTAATCTTGACTAACACATGTATTGTACTTTACAGTTTACACATACATTATCTGCATCTACAGAGAACTTAAAGTTCTCAATTTACCTGAGTTCAGATTCCTTCTCTATTAAACCTTTTGTCAGAGCTATCAACAAAGAGTAAAGTAGACCATTTAAATCTCCTCTTTTCCTGTTCACTTTTTAGGAGAGATGTGGATCATGAGGAAAAGAGCTAAGAGGCAGGAAGACAGATAAAAAAAAAAAAAAAATCTGAGGCCTGTACAAGCTGAGATGTGATCCATTTCTAAATATGTGAGGCTTAGCCCAAAATAAAATCTCTTCTGAAAATGGAGATGGTACCCTTCCCACTAAAATGCCCTCTTGTAACACCTGGAAGGGGGACCTACCACATTTTTTTCGGTGAATAGCTTCCCCTATAATAGGAAGCCAGCACTTGACCTTTCCCTGTAGTGACAATGAATTTAGCCACCTGGACAGGTAAACGGAATTTTTTATAAGCAATCAGTTCTTCCCTTGAGTACCACCTGCTTTTGGGTGGGACGCTTCCCAGGAAACTGTAGGGACTATCTGTCCTTCAGAAGAAAGATGAAAATTATTTCACCTGGCTGTAGAAGAGGCTAGGCAGATAACCTGTGAAACTCCTACTGTGTGCAGTGCCAGGGCTGTGCACTACTTTGATGGCTTCTTAGCACAAGACGTATAAACTCCAGCAGACTGCTCTTTCTCATCCCGTGAAGATAGGATGATTGGGCTTTTCGACCTACCAAGCTGGAACTCCTCTGAAGTTTTAGCTTCTGTCTAGCATGCATATTGCTCTGATTATTACCAGCAAATCACAGAAAAGAAACACGTGCAGACACTTTTAATTAATGTGGGGCGATGTCACTGCAGCCCACAATACAAATCCCTCCTCTAGTTTGCAAACCACTGACTGATCCCACCACTACCCATCTGACACTCACGGTATATAGTTATTTACCATTCGTGTATCAGTCTTATCATTTCAACTGGTGGCACAGTGGTTAAGCGCTCAGCTACTAACCCAAAGGTCGGCAGTTTGAATCCCCCAGCCGCTCCTTGGAAACCCTATGGGGCAGTTCTACTCTGTCCTATAGGGTCGCTATGAGTAGGCACTGACTCAACAGCAACGCATTTGCTTTTTTTTCCCAACTAGGTGGTAAGCTCCTCACGGACAGGAGCCGCTCCTCACACAGAGGCTGCAGCTTTCTCGGTGCCTCGCACAAGGTTGGGCACATAGCAGAAACATCATACATTTACTGAACTGAACTAAAAGGCTGTTCTTTAGGTAACAACTCAACCATCTGCCTGTCAGTCACCTGTTACGCACGGGCATTTTACACAAAAACTCACGGGGGCTCTGTGATTCCTTGGCTCCCGGGCGTACGAAAGCTCGTAGATTTCATCTTCCGTGTAGTAGAGATCCAGGGATAACTGCAGATCAGAGCAGAACTGGGTTAATCACTAAGGTGCTGTGGGCCATTCCCACAGCTGATGCGTTTTCCTCCTCTTGCTTGTCCTCCCCACTGGTTCACTCTTTCGCTTCTGGCAGTTTGTTTTTAAAATTCACAAAGTTTGCAGGGGGTAATGCCGGCTCTTTCAGTAGGGCAACTGTTAGTCCTTCCTAAAATGTTTTTAAATTTTGGAGACGTCCCAGGATGCCCTCTTCTTAACTCTGGTTTCCTGTCTAAACCTCTGTGTGTAGCGCCAAAGACCTTATCTTGCCAGATGCTCCACACCTCACTTGTTCCCTCCTGAAGCAGACAAGAGATCTGAAAGGATAGTTTGTGTGTCCGGATACTATTAAAAATTCTGTATCCAGCAACAGAGCCCCCTTGAGATGATAATAGGTAATTATGAAAGGATGTTAAGAGTTAGTGGTTTCAGATGCCCCAGCACTACAGCATTTTAGAGAGGAGAGGTCTTAGAGAGAACTAGCCCTTAACCTAGGGTCTACAGACGGACTTCAGGAGGTTCTGGACTCCTTGAAATTGCACACGTAGTTTTGAGTACATAGTTTATGTATATTTTTCTGAGAAGAGCGTTCACAGTTTTCTTCACAGGATTTATGACCCAGAGAAGTTTAGGTGCAGTGCCTCTTCTTACAGATGAGGACGTCTGAGGCAGAGAGGCACGAAGGGTGCCTGGCTAATTAGCAAAAGGGCTAGGATCAGACAACAGAATTAGACACCAGCCGGAGGTGAAGGCTGGGGCTCTAGCAAATGCTCCTGTGAAGTAAGAAATTATTCCATTCCGCAACAACAAAAAAAAAAAAAACAGGTTAAACATTGTATAATGTTAGAATGGACAGGGATGTTTAGAAGTCATCTAGAGACTAACCCCTCTGATTTTACAGAGGAGGAAACAGGCCTAGAGAGTTAACGTCCCCACAGTCACACAGCTTGCAGGTCTGGAAGGAAGTGCATGTGGTCTCACCCTGCTCTACGGCATCGCTGACAAGCAGTCACCTACCCTGGGCTCGAAGACCTCCAGGGGCAGGAATCTGAGCCATGGTGGCAGGATCCAAATGATAAACCTGATGTTTTTACTCACTTCCTTGCCCTCCGTTAGGAGAACACACCGTCTCCATCTCTTACCAGGCCTTGTATCCTGACTGGCCAGTCGGTGCCCCCTGGAAAGCTTAGCATGCTTTCCCGAGGGTAGGGAAACGCTCCCACAGATCCCAATGGCCTACTGTTTAAGAGCACAGCCTCCTGAGCCCCATGGCCTACCTGAATAATGTGTGCTCCTTTGACAAGTTATGTCTCTGTACCTCAGTATCCCCATCCATAGAATAAGGATAATAATAATATCTACTTCATGGAGCTTCTATGAAGATTGAAACAGGCTACCATATGTTTAGGTGCATAGAATGGTGCCTGGCACGCGGAAAGAGCACAGTGAACGTTCTCCAGTGTGAACCTCACCGTCAGCAGGTGCACCAAGTCCTTGTTGGCCTCCAAGGGTGGGGCCACCTCTTGCAGCTGGACCAGCTCGTTGATGTGATTGTAAAGGGCCAGCAGCTTGTGGACGTTCACCTTTCCGTCCTCCAGGTAGTCGGGCATGGCTTCGTACAGGGAGATGAGGTCCTTGAGGTGCACCCCCAGGATGGGGATCTTAAAGTGGGTGCACTCCCCGTAGGCTCGCCGGTAGTTGTCGTAGTTTCTGTAGGAGGACAGCAGCTCAGTCATCTCACCCAGGACCTAGGGAGGCAGAACAGAGCCAGTCACAGGCAACACTGGGGGGGTGTAGTGTCTGCTACCACGATTTCGCACCATCCCCGACACGCGGGGGAAGAGATGATTCACGCAAAAGGTGCAGATTGTGACTCCGAACCCTAGAACTTCAGCGCAAGTCAGACAGCCCAGGGTACATTATAAGCAGAAAGTATACTTGACTTGATTCTAGACAACAGTTTAAAACAAGGTTTTAGTTATTTTTAGATTAAAATATATTTCTTTTAAGAAATACATAGTATAAGCACCTGTTTCAGAAATTCAGAAGGTCTAAGAGTATATCGTGAAAAGTCAGTGGCCCTTGGCCCCTGGCCCCAAGCCACACACTTCCCTTCCCTAGTGTCTTGGGAGTGCTTCCACAGACGGTGTATTGCACACCTGTTTGTGTTGTGTTGTTGACACGGGGAAACACGTAAGGGTGGAGCTCCGGTGGTCTACTGCATGTTCTCCTCTAGGAGGCACTCTGTGGGCCTTCCTGCAGTGACCCCCGAAAGGGGGTCTGTGTCTAGGAGGTGGGTGACATCCCCAGACTGAAACCCTGAACTAAAGAGACTGAGGAGACTAGACCAGTTCTCAGCGAAGGACACAAAAGAGGATGAGGTGAAGGCACCAGGGGGCTCTGTGTGAGAGCGCACCCTGCCTCAGCCCCGGCAGTGGGCACGGCTGCCCGTCAGCACAGAAAGGGGGCAGCCACATCGGGGGTTCTTTTCAGACCTGGTTCAAGTCAACAAGCAGTTCACAGCACGTGATGGCCAGCCTTCTCAGAAGCAAAGACGTCTGTCATGTTATCACACAAACTACCATTTTAAATACTGTGCCCCAGACTCTTTTAATATAATCATGTGAAGAAGTACCATTTCTCCATGATAACTACCTTGAATCTTGGAGTCGGCCTCTCTCGATCACCTCAGGACGGTAAGACTGCCTTCTTCTCATGTATCTCTGGCAGACAGTGTGTGTGTGTGAAGTGTGGGTGTAATCTGACACCGTCAAGTCCATGGCTAACTTGAAGGAATATTAATCCTTGTGACCATTCCCCTTCTGTCACCTCTAAGATGTGGGTAATTTTTTCAGTGGTTCCAGCCTGGTCTCAGCTGAATTGCAGGAAATTAAAAGTAACTAAAGATTCCCCTTTTGACCAGACTATTGGGAGGAGGAGAGTTGGGCAGTATCCCCAGAGCCCAGGCTTGTGACAGCAGGGGAGATGAATGAGAGACTCCCCAAAGGGAGGCTCAACATCTGGGGAGAAGGGATAGGGGCTGTGAGGCTCAGGCATCTCTCCCCAAGAAGAGAGTCTCCCTCCGTGCCAGCCTGGAGGATTAGGGTTTCAGTATATTAAGGGATGGCTCGCTGGTCCTCTTACATGTCATGAAAATGCCCACAGAGCAGTCATTGTCTAACCCATAGCATACACAGCTGTGTTTATATCTTTAACATGTCGCAGTGACTTACAGTAACTCTGCATCATAAAGAAAAGCTTAATTTATATTCTGTAAAATCTAATAAAGTAGAAAAGTGCTTAGGACATTTAAGAAAAATGTTTCCTAGTGAAACATTATCTGTTACAATGTACTCTTTACAACATAAAGAGTTCGTGTCCAACTACCTGGGAAAATTCTGTTATCCAGGATGTCATTCTTCAAGTGTTCAGGACAGCTAGGTTTTTAATGTGTCACTATACAACTACACTCAATATGCAAATTGAACTATTGTCAGCTGAACCATTATTCCCTTCTAGGAAAGCATTTAGGAGCAGGAAGCTGGAGCAAAGCAGCTAGTGTTAAAAATGGCGACTCTGATTATTCAGTAGCATATGTACATGGACAGTGTTCCGCTGCTATTCATAAGGTTTTCACTGGCCAGTTTTTTCAGAAGTAGACCGCCAGGTCCCTCTTCCTAGTCTGTCTTAGCCTGGAAGCTCTGCTGAAACCTGTCCACCATGGGTGATCCTGCTGGTATTTGAAATACTGGTGGTGGCATTGCTTCCAGCATCACAGCAGCATGCAAGCCACCACAGTATGACAAAGTGATACAGTGCTGGAAGATAAGCACCTCAGGCTGGAAGGCACTCGAAATATGACTGGGGAAGAGCTGCCTCCTCAAAGTAGAGCCAACCTTAATGATGTAGATGGAGTAAAACTTTCAGGACCTTCATTGGCTGATGTGGCATGACTCAAAATGAGAAGAAACAGCTGCAAACATCCATTAATAATCAGAACGTGGAACGTATGAAGTGTGAATCGAGGAAAACCACAGGTCGTTAAAAATGAAATGGGACGTATAAAGATCGATATCCTAGGCATTAGTGAGCTAAAATGGACTGGTACTGGCTATTCTGAATTGAACAATCACATGGTCTGCTACACCGGGAATGACCGCTTGAAGAGGAGTGGCGCTGCATTCATCGTCAAAAAGAACGTTTCAGGATCTCTCCTGAAGTACAAGGCTGCCAGTGAGAGGGTAATATTCACACGCCTACAAGGAAGACCGGCTAATACAACTATTATTCAAATTTATGCCCCAACCACTTAGGCCAAAGATGAAGAAATTGAAGATTTTATCAACTTCTGCAGTCTGAAACTGATCAAACATACAATCAAGATTCATTGATAATTACTGGTAATTGGAATGGAAAGTTGAAAACAAAGAAGGATCGGTAGTTGGAAAATATGGCCTTGGTGACAGAAACGACCCTAGGGTCGCATGATAGAATTCTGCAAGACCAATCAATTATTCATTGCAAATACCTTTTTCAACAACATAAACGGTGACTATACATGTGGACCCTGCCAGATGGAATACAGTGGAATCAGATCGACTACATCTATGGAAACAGACAATGGAGAAGCTCAATATCATCAGTCAGAACAAAGCCAGGGGCCAACTGGCGGAAGAGACCATTAATTCTTCATATGCAAGTTCAAGCTGAAGCTGAAGAAAATTAAAACAAGTCCACAAGAGCTAAAGTAAGACCTTGAATATATCCCACCTCAATTTAGAGACCATTTCAAGAACAGATTTGACGCATTGCAACACTAATAACCAAAGACCAGCTGAGTTGTGGAATGACATCAAGGACATCATACATGAAGAAAGCAAGAGGTCATTAAAAAGACAGGAAAGAAAGAAAAGACCAAAATGGATGTCAGAAGAGACTCTGAAGCTTGCTCTTGAACATAGGGTAGCTAAAGCGAATGGAAGAAATGATGAAATAAAAGAGGTGAACAGAAGACTTCAAAGGGCAGCTTGAGAAGACAAAGTAAAACATTATAATGAAATGTGCAAAGACCTGGAGTTAGAAAACCAAAAGGGAAGAACATGCTCAGCATTTCTCAAGCTGAAAGAACTGAAGAAAAAATTCAAGCCTGGAGTTGCAGTATTGAAAGATTCTACAGGAAAAATATTGAACAACATAGGAAGCATCAAAAGAAGATGGGAGGAATTCACAGAGTCACTGTACCAAAAAAAATTGGTCGACACGCAGTCATTTCAGGAGGTAGCATATGATTGAGAACCAATGGTACTGAAAGAAGAAGTCTAAGCTGCACTGAAGGCACTGGAGAAAAACAAGGCTTCAGGAATTGACAGAATACCAATTGAGATGTTCCAACAAACGGATGTGGCACTGGAGGTGCCCACTCATCTATGTCAGGAAAATTGGAAGACAGCTACCTGGCTAACTGACTGGAAGAGATCCATATTTGTGCCCATTCCAAAGAAAGGTAATCCAACAGAACACGGAAATTATCGAACAATATCTTTAATATCACACACAAGTAAAATTTGCTGAAGATCATTCAAAAGTAGTTGCAGCAGTACATTGACAGGGAACTGCCAGAAATTCAAGCCAGATTCAGAAGAGGACGTGGAACCAGGGATATCATTGCTGATGTCAGATGGATCTTGGCTGAAAGCAGAGAATACCAGAACGATGTTTACCTGTGTTTTATTGACTATGCAAAGGCATTCAACTTTGTGGCTCATAACAAATTATGGATAACATTGTGAAGAATGGGAATTCCAGAACACTTAATTGTGCTCATGAGGAACCTGTACATTGGTCAAGAGGCAGTCGTTCGAACAGAAGGAGATACTGCGTGGTTTAAAGTCAGGAAAGGTGTGTGTCACGGTTGTATCCTTTCACCATACTTACTCAATCTGTATGTCGAGCAAATAATCTGAGAAGCTGGACTATATAAAGAAGAATGGGGCATCAGGATCGGTGGAAGATTCATTAACAACTTGTGATCTGCAGATGACACAACTTTGCATGCTGAAAGCGAAGAGGACTTGAAGCACTTACTGATGAAGATCAAAGACTACAGCCCTCAGTATGGATTACACCTCAACAGAAAGAAAACAAAAATCCTCACAACTGGACCAATAAGCAACATCATGATAAACGGAGAAAAGGTTGAAGTTGTCAAGGATTTCATTTTACTTGGATCCACAATCGACACCCATGGAAGCAGCAGTCAAGAAATCAAACCTTGTATTGCATTGGACAAATCTGCTGCAAAAGACCTCTTTACACTGTTAAAAGCAAAGATGTCACTTTGAGGACCAAGGTGTGCCTGACCCAAACCAGGGTGTTTTCAGCTGCCTCATATGCATGTGAAAGCTGGATAATAAATGAAGAAGATGAAAGAAGGAATTGATGCCTTTGAATTGTGGTGTTGGTGAAGAATATACCACGGAGTGACAGAACAAACAAATCTGTCTTGGAAAAAGTACAGCCAGAATGCTCTTTAGAAGCAAGGATGGCGAGACTTCATCTCATGTATTTTGGACACGTTATCAGGAGGAACCAGTCCCTGGAGAAGGACATCATGCTTAGCAGAGGGTCAGTGAAAAAGAGGAAGACCCTTGAGGAGATAGACTGACACAGTGGCTGCAACAATGGGCTCAAGCGTAACAATGACTGTGAGGAAGGCACAGGACCAGGCAGTATTCATTTCTTTTGTACGTAGGGTCACTATGAGTCGGAGTCAACTTGATGGCACCTACCTACAACATATGTACACGGGGAAAAGGCACACACACATTATTTCAGCTGACCCAGCAGGAAGAGGTGCAGTGGCCGGACTCATCACAGTTACTCTGAAATCTAACTTCCCCATCCTGCAGGTTTTCTTGGGGTTTACCTCCCTGGTACGTTGCCTGGTGGATGGGGGATGGTACGCTTTGGAAATGCTCTCCTCAAGGAGAACACATGCACAGTGGTTCTGGGGATGCTGCCGAGGGCCACAGAGAAGGCAGTAGCACTGACCTTATTGATTTCGTGCGGGACGTGCGAACTTGTCTCCTTGAGCCTGGAGATTGAGCTGTGACACAGCCCACCTATGACAGCCATCAATGTGTTGAAGTTCTGTAGTTGGTGGAGCTTCTGTGACGCAGAAAAGAGGACACAGAGTCACTGTGTATGCCAGTTGCCTGGGAGGGAAGAGGCTGCCTCTCTTCCCTGTGCTGCAAGTCTTCCTTATCGTGGGCAAAGACTAACAATCCGGTGTGGCAGCTTTCTGTCCATTTCGCCCCTTAGGCTTAACTGCAGACAGGTGGGTCGCAAACCTAGCAAGGTGCCATGCCCTTCTCTGTGTTGCAGCTGGTCTGTAGACCACTGTCTGGATCGATGGTTCTTAAGAATCACCCAAAGTACTTGTTTAACATGGATTTCTGGCCCCAACCACAGACACTGATTCCCTGGATCTGGGAATTAGGGGTCTGTACTCTTAGCATGCCTCCAGATAATGCTCTGAGAAACACTGAGAAACACGGGTCTGTCTACACCATCTGCACCATTCAGGGTTGGAAAATCTACCATTACGTGCAGTCTTTTATTTCCTTTAACCCAAATTAACCAGACTCTTACGTATTTGAGGGCAAGGGCTTTGTCTTAGTCACCTGTGCAAGATAGTAACTGGGATAGAGAAGCTAGAATCTCTGGAAGAGTTCAAATATGGGTCCACAGTGTCTGTTTCCCTCTTAGCAAATGCTTAAACTCTGCCCCTCAAACATTAAGTCTAGCCATTTAACATAGCACGGGCTCAAAAACTGAAGGCAATCTAGGCTTGTCCAGACTCAGTAAAGCTTGGAATTGTGCTTTCCTTTGCCATAGGCATGGGCCAGATGAGGAGAAACCAGTATAAGCTGGGAAGCATCTTTTGAAAAATGTTAAAGATTTAACCAGCAGAATACAGACCTTATCCTCACTCTGAGTTGGCCTGTGCTGCCCTCTCCATGTTGCCCTTGTGTGAGGAATAGAAAGGTCAAACATATCCGGGACAATTGAAGGCGCAGTCTCAGGAGGGAAAGCCCCTCATTCAGACAGACTACGCCTTGGAAAAAGAAAGGTAGAGAATTCACCTTATAGCCCGGGCCAAAAGTCTTACTCCAGCCACTCACCTGAGCCACCTGGATGAACTTGATAAAGACTTCTGCTCGGAGCTGCGGGGTGGGGCGGCTGAGAACCATCAGCTGCACCCACTGGGAGATGCCGTTGCACAGGGCAATGGACCGCTCCATGGTGGGGTTCTCCTTCACGCAACTGTTCACAAGGTAATTCTGATAATCGGAAAACTGGAGAGAAAGAAACCCATCAGGACTGCTCCTCTGGCGTTCTGGGCAACCCGAAGAGGGGGCACCTCTGCTCAGCTGATGGCTGGGAACTGTTCTGGGACAGAGGCGCTCCTGCCTTTCTCCTGCATCTTCTCCACTTGGAATCCAGGCGTGGTAGAAGGGGAGTCTTTATTACACCACAGCATGGCCTCGTTTAGTCTACCACAGCATGGCCTCATTTAGTCTACCACATACAGTCCACCACAGCATGGCCTCGTTTAGTCTACCACAGCATGGCCTCGTTTAGTCTACTACACTTAGTCTACCACAGCATGGCTTGGTTGAGTCTACCACACTTAGTCTACCACAGCATGGCCTCTCTGCCAGAAGCCGTTAAGCTCAAGTGGATGTGTACATACAGTAGTTCCTCAAAATAATGTTTTGGTGTAGATATACCTTTCAAAATTCTAAAGAATACAGTACTGAAGAAAGATGTAAGTACTGGTTCCAGGTCTGACGATGAAGTTAAGATAAAAAAGGTAATTTTCTTCACAAAAACATTTAATCTCTCTCTCTCCCTCAACTGTCTCTCTCCTCTCCCCTCAGCTGTTTTTATACTCAAAAAATGCGTAGATAAAAATGTGCCCTATCTAGGAGAAAGAATTATAATGAAAATCAAACAACACGACAACTTTAACTTTTCAAAGTGCTACAATAATGTGAGGTGATGTTAATGGGAAAATACTAACCTCACACTAAAAATGCCTGTGTGGATTCCTTCTACTACCATCCTGACCACAGTCTGAGTGAGAGGGAATGGGAAACTTGGTTTGCTGTATTTCCGGTGAGCATAGTTCCTCAATTTGACAATGGCCTTGATTATGGTCGACAGCGAGAAAGCATGGGCGAAGCTGCACATGTCCAGTGTGAGTGACGGCTGTGTTTGTCGGGACCCTGTCCCTAAGAATCCCTCTGCTCAGTCGGCATCAACAAGAGGGAGGGGCAGTCTGCTCTTCTCCATCACCGCTGTGGGAGTCCTTAGTGTGTTCTGCAGATTTCCAGTTCTCTGCGTCTGAGCTCTCCCCTTGGAAATCAGGGGCGACCATGTGACATGGTTTTAGTCAATGAAATGTGAGAGGATGTGATGTCGTTTTTGGGTCAATGATTTAAGAGCCAGTGAGTGATTTACCATGTTACCTTCCTGCTGCTGCAGAGATTATGGAAATTCAGGTCAAGATGAAGCCGCCTTCGCCCAGGTCCCTGAGTGATTGTGATCGGCAGAGCCCGCTGCCAACCCACGTTAGAGATGTAGTGTGAGTGGGAAATAAACTTCTTTGTTAAGCCACCAGGACTGGGCTGGGGAGGGGTTGTTCCTGCAGTACAGCTTCCTGCCTGAGGAGTGAATACACCAATGAGAACTCACAGCCTAAATGGAACAGGTGCAAATTAACTGTTTTTAATTTTAATGTGCTGTGGCTGCTGAGGGGTGAAAAAATATGAGTAAGACCAAAACCACTGTGTAAGAGAGACATATAAAATAAAAGTCTTACTGAAGATAAAAGTTCCCATGACTCATTTCAATGAATACATTCTGCATACATCACCCATTGTAAATACAACGTTGAATCCACCTGCTTTTTAAAAGAATCACCCAAGTCATCTCCCCACCACCCCCGTACAGAAGAGTTAACACAGCGGGCCTGAGACTGCTATCCTTAGAAAGGCCACTCGCAAGGGTGGCCCTTAACTGGCATTTGAGGAACTTGGATTTCAGGAATGTTCCCACCTTTCTCTAACTGATAAGAGTATCTAGGCTGTTTGTGCAAACAATATGGTTTGTGCTGAACACCTGCTTTCCTTCTGGGAGTGTGGGATTTTGGTACAGGCTGGGCAGAGGGTACCCACATGAGCAGCCCCCGATGAAAACCTTGCACTCTGCGTCTCCAGCGAGCTCCCCTGGCAGACTACACTCTGCATGTGTTGTCACCGTTTGATGCTGGAGGAATTCAGTGTGTGCTGTGTGACTCCACTGAGAAAGTACTCTTGGAAGCTCGCACCTGGTTTCCTCTGCGCTTCGCCCCTGAGCCTTTTCCCTCTGCTGCTTCGGTTGTCATCTTTTACTGTAATAAATCAGTGAGCCCTCCTAGTGACTCACCAAACCTCAGGGCATTCTCGGGGGCCCCAGCCCTCCTACACTGATGTGTTATAGTAAACACAAAATATACAGTACCACCCAATTCACAGCAGAGATTAATTTCTCTCCAACCCCATGTCGAAGGGAGAATCACTGCTGGGGAATGCTGTTTAGAACTGTGTAGGAAAAAAAATCCCCCAGTCTTCTTTGGTGAAGGCACCATGCCACTCCAAGAAGTGAAGGCTCAGACTGCTGTTTCCCTTTGCAGAGAAGACACCGCCTCGAGCCCGTGAGCGCTGCCTCGGCTCCTTGTTCCTCACTGTCTTCACTTCTGCCTCCACTGGTCTGAGCACTGGCATCCCACAGACCCTGCCCAGCAGCCCTGCCCGTTTGGCCCCAGCACAGCTGATTGCCAGTGTGATAAACGGCTCTTTTCAGCGGCGCTCGGCTCTGACTGGCGTCCCGCCCCATGGTGCAGGAGGCACTGCCAAAGGCCAGCAGCCCAGGTGGAGCCCCCGAACTGGAGCCTGGGGGTCTGAGGGGTGCCAGTGAAGGGATGGGGGTCGTGCAGATTAATGCTCATGACGTCCTTCTGAAAGGGAGCTGGGGGCGGGTGGTTCTTGGCTGACTGGCAGTTGTGTGAAAACAGCAGGGATGTTAACATATGGGAGAAAAGACGAAATAACTTCTGTAACCTGGTCTGTGGGTTCCCTTGGACTCAACAGAGGTGCTGAGTGGCTGAGGGGCAGAATGGTGAGCTGCCTGTGGCCCGAGCCCAAGCTCTGGCCTGAATGAGCTGTGACCTTGCTCAAGCCATCTCTCCATGCTCCCTCCCCTCACCCAGCGGGCACAGGTCATCCTAAGAAATGTATCCACAACTAGGTCAACTCTAGTTTTAGAGCAAAACTGAAGACTGTATCTGTTGGTGGGGGTGGGGCTGAGAGGAATAAGGGTGTTATTTCTCTGGAAACCATATCAGCTGCTGAGGGCCATCTGGCATGTTGAGTTCTCCTGTGTGGACCCAATGCTCTGTTGGTAGCACATACGGAGGTCTAAGGCTTGCACTGAGGAAGGGATGTACTTATGTGCTCTCTCTGTTCCTGATGATAAAATGAAATCTCTCTCCCTTCATCTCTCTCTGCTACCAGTAAGCGGCTCTGCATAGTTACCCCATGAGTGAGGTCCGAGTCAGTGTAGTTTATCTCTAGAACCATGAGTGACTGCTGGCTCTGTCGGCACTACTTCAAGGGTTTAAGTATATTCTGGGCTAAAGCAGGCATAGCTACTTTATTTTGGGGCTTCCCAGAGCCATTCAAAGCCTATCCAAGAATGAACTCAAACTCTTAGAGGGCATATCCCCATTCTTTTTCTGGAGGGAGTTTTTTTTTTAAATAAAATTTCTGGGAGTCTAATGATTATCAGAGATGAAAGGAGTGTGGGTGTGATACTGGGTATGCTGTGCGTACTCTGTGTGTGCACACATGCATGCTTGTGTGCAGGGTGTTATGTGTGCTGAGTGTTGTAACTTGTTGAGTGAAGGCTGGGGTGGGGGTATGGACACGAAGGATGGGAGGTGGGGGAAGCACAGCAGAAGCAACCAGAGAAATTCAGAGGGTAGATCTTCCCGACTATACGAAGCCTGCTGGGTAAGCCCCTCAGCACTGAGGGGGCCTCTAGGAGGAGGGGGTGGGGGCTATTGAATTTCTCTGCTGATTTTCAGATAGGCCCTAGGGGACGTTTTCTCTTGCCCCTCAGGTACATACGGATATTCTTCGGAAGGACTTGAACTCAAGGTAGGTGAGATGCTCAGACAGCTCTTCTGGTTCCAGATGGTCAAAGAGTAGGGAGACCTTCCGTTTCTTGCTGGTATTCGATTTTATCCTTTGCGTAAGCTTCCTGGACCAGTCACGGGCATTGCTTTTGTGGATAAACATAAAAGGGAGGAAAACAGGGAGAAAGAAAAAAATCAAAATTGCTTTTTGTAAGTAAATCCATTAAGGTTTCCCACAAGAATATACAGAACACTGTGAGCTAACTTCCGTTGGTTAAAATAACGCATAAACAGTTTCCCCAAATCAGTTTTTTAGGACAGCAACCAGGAAGATTTGCTGGTTTTCAGTGATCCTTCCAAGTGTGCCATGGGGAACAGGGCAGAATGAGAGTTTACTTTTGGGTGATGGAAAGAACAGTCACAGGCACTGGTCAGTCTCCTCCCCTTTGTCTAGCTCTCTCTGGGCCTCCCGTGCTCCTTCGTTCCCATGGGTGTGATGGGGACTCTCTCTCTGCATGGAAATGTCAAGGCTGTGGAGTGGTTTTCAGGCCAGAAGGGCCCAGGGAGCCAGTGCTTAGTCCTGCTTGAGAGACGATGTCTTGCTGCAGGGAATCACGCGTAGGGCCATGCTGTCACTCTGGGCAGGGTTGTGGCACTTTCCTCAAATCCCCCCAGCCGCTGGAAATGAGGCCTCGCTGACCCTAGGCCACCCTCTGTATTTTCTTGTCATCAACCATTGCATTTCTCACTCAGTTTCAATTGCCTATATTAAGGAAGCAAAGGGAAGCTGCCCGGTTGTGAGAGGCAGCAGGGTGCAGATCTGTGTTTCCCACACTGGTGTTCCTAGGGAACCTTATCACTTGACAAGAGTTCTGTGGTCAGAAGAGTTTGGAAAATGCTACAAATTCTGTAGCCCTACTAGCGCATATTACACACTCTGAGATGCACTGCAAAAGGCCAGTGTAACTCACCATTTCTCAAGTATTTCTGGTCAGGCAATAGCCTACAGACTAATTGCTAAAGGATGGACTATGGAAAATATTGGTAGAGGAAAGCCACTTATGGACATATTGGGACAAGGAGACCTGGGTTTGAGAAGTGCCCTGGGCCCTAGGTTCTTCATCTTTAAAAGAACAAATTGTTACTTTGAAAAATCTCTTTAATCTTATACAATTTGTAAGCGGAGAAATACAGAGAATCCAAACTGATAAACAGATTGACTCAGGGCCGTGGAATGTGATCCCGAAGTCGTTTCTACATGGGTATGGCACAGCACACCACAGACAGCGGCGCTGAGTCCAGCTTCTGCTCTGCCACTAACTTAACTGGCTGTGTGACCCACCTGAGTCACAACCTCGCCGAGCCTGTTTCCCAATCTGAAATGTCAGGACATCGAATTAGACCATCTCTAGAATGTCTTTCAGTTCTGGAATTCTGTGTCCTAGGGGTCTGTCATAGTCCAAAATAAAGCACCCACAATGGGAAAACCTTGGCGGTCAATGTATCACTCCCTTCCCCCAACTGAGAAAGATACTTTTTCCCAGAGTGGGCTAGTCAATCTTGTAAATAAGAAATCCAAGGAATAATCTGAGCTGGGCCCAGCTCTGGAAGTCTAAGTGCTTTTTGCAGGTGTCCGCGTATGTCACAGAGCCGGTGCTCAGAGCGTTTCCAGCAGTCCCTTCCATGTTCCCAAGTTCAGGGCGGCTCTTGGCGTTAGCTGCTGAAGAGGATGAGTTAGGTCACCCTGCCTTCAGTTTCTAGTGATCTGGTAACTTTCAGTCAGTAGCTTGCTACCTGATTTCTTTTTGACTGGGACTTATTTTTTTCTACTCTTGGATGTCAGTCACCTACAGCTTCATCACCAGGGGGCTCCTCTGCCTTCCTGTCAGATACCCAGCCTTTTACTTGGGTCAGGGACTTGGAGTGCTGAGGCCTTCTCAGAGAGGGGAAGGAGCTGGAGCAGGAGTTGGAGACCCAGAAGCAGCAGCCTGGATTGCATTACAGAAGGGAGGTGGTTTTGGAAGATGAGTCCAAACCTTGACACTCACATTTGAGTTGTGTCAATGAGGCGGCAGTGGAACTCCTCACCGTTAGCCTTCACCAGCTCCTGGAACTCCTCCATCGTGCTGGTCAAGTTGGCATCCATCTTAAACATGATCCAGAATTCTGTTATCCAATACCTACAAGAAAGGAGTTTAAAAAAAAAACACCATCCAAAACCTAAGCCAGAGACTTGTACTTTAGTAGGTTCCTACAGGAATCTGTTGCCCCGTAAGGGACTCAGACAGAGGCTGCTGTGTTCTGTCATATCTTTCAAGGAGCTAGGGTTGGGGTACCAGGGAAGAAAACCACGCACTGGCCATCTTCTGCCACCACATTCAAAATGCTTTGACAGGATAATGTGCATTATAATCCAAGGAGCCATGATGAAGATGTCGGCATAATCACGTGTATCAGGAGTAATTATAAAGGAGAAAACTATAGACAAAGCAAATGTCTAAAAATGGGGCAATGTAACTGTAAATTATATTTATCCTATGTTGGAATATTATATGGCCATTAAAGTCATGCTTATAAAAAGTCTTTAATGACTAGAGGACATTCCTATTTAAGTGAAAACTACAGGATACAAAACTTTTGTACATATTTTGATTTCAACTATGATAAAAAAAAATCTGCTTGAAGAAAAGACAGGAAGTATACCAACATTTTACCAATGGTTTTCTCTAGGTAGTTGGATTATGAGTAGTTAGTATAGTTATATTCTTTTATATATTTTCAAAATGTTCTACAATGAGCTATATTACTTTTTTTTTTTTTTTTAACTGTTGTAAAAATATAAAGAACACAGCCGAGAGATCTTTCACTATCTCTTAGGTTATCTGATACCCAAATGCTACAAGACTGAAGAAAACACACGGCATAAAATATTAAGCTCCAGCACACCAGCTGAGGAATTCCGGCCTTAAGAGATGCCTCTTGCCAGTCTACCCAGAGGTGTCCTAGGAATGGTTGGGAAGGGAAAGGCAGAGAGCAGCAGGGAAGCTTTTCATTTCACAGACTCCATAAATCCCTGTGTGCACGCAGAAACTTTACCTCACAAAATAGCAGATCTTCAGGCACAGCCCTGGTGAATTCTTTGCCAAGGCATCCTTATAGGTGGAGGTGTGGTTAAGGGAAATGGAAGCCTCTGTTACAGAAATCAAACCACTTTTCATCTTTGGAAGTATTTGCTAAAACTATCCCCCTGAAATAATTTTTTTCAATGACAATATTATGTCTTTCTGGTCATAGGATGAAACACCACCGCAGGTTGCAGCTGTCTGCTGATTATCCCCTAGGATGGCGACCACGGGCGCTTTCCATCCAGCCCAAGCTGAAATGGCTGTGGAGGGAGGCTGCAGCAGCTTGCTTCCAGAACTGCAACTAGGAACTCACTAGTGTGGAGAGGTCCCAGTCCAGAGGACCTCCAAAACGTCACGAGGGGAGATGATTTCCTTCCTGTGCCCAAGAGACTAGGAGCCCAACTGAGACAAGCTATAAAGCACAGTCCCTTTCCATTTCAAAATGCTTCTAAAAAAATAACTGTTGCCATCGAGTCAATTCCGACTCACAGCAACCCCACAGGACGGAGCAGAAGTGCCCCATAAGGTTTCCAAGGCTGTAATCTTTACAGAAGCAGACTGCCACATCTTTCTCCCACAGAGCAGCTGGCGGGTTCGAATCACTTTGTGGTTAGCAGCTGAGCGCTTAACCACTGTGCCACCAGCTCCTCAGAATGCTTCTAGTAACTGATAAATAATTTGTACAGTAAACTAGAAGTCGAAGGAATACATATTCAGATATATTCTCATGGTAATTAAGAACAAGACTGTGAAAACTACAGTATACACAGAATGACCTTATAGTTGCGATAGCAAGTCAGCTAAAACAAAACAAAAACAGACTCTTAGCTGTTCAGTCAGTTCCAACTCAGCAAGCCTACAGGGTAGAGGGGAACTGCCCCATAGGGTTTCCAAGGCCGTAATCTGTACGGGAGCGGTCTGCCACATCCTTCTCTCATGGAGCGGCTAGTGGGTTGGAACTGCCAACCTTCTGGTTAGCAGTTGAGCACTTAACCATTGTGCTACCAGGGTTAGCCACGTGAGTAATCCAAAACACAACTGATATCACGGTCAGGATCTGTATCATCCTGAAAATTCCAGAGAATGATGCTGTCCCTAAGAACACAGGAGAACAGCAAGATCCCATCAAGCTCATGTCGTCAGAGATACAGTAAAACCTCTGAGAGCTGGAACACAACGGGACTGCCTTGTTTTTCCAGGTCTCACAAGTTTTCCGCCTTCGACAGGGGCAGTCTTACCACTTCTCCGTCTCTCTCTGTTAGTGGAGAATAGTTGAGTTCTCCTTCTCTGACAGGTTTCCACCTTACACAGGTTCTGGCTTTTGCAGGTTTTACTGTATATGGAAAGAATATTTAAGAATAAAAGACATGCAAAATCCAATCCAGTGATGAACCTGGGTGGATCCTGCCATCTCCCATTGGCAGACGGAGGAATCAGGCTCTGTGGGCTGTGTGCTCTGCAAGACCATGCCTTCCTTAAGTTCTGAAAACTATGGCCTAATAACGGTAAATGGGGCCCTGGTGGCGCCCAATAACTGTAACCGGGGCCCTGGTGGCGCCCAATAACTGTAAATGGGGCCCTGGTGGCACCCAATAACTGTAACTGGGGCCCTGGTGGCACCCAATAACTGTAAATGGGGCCCTGGTGGCGCCCAATAACTGTAAATGGGGCCCTGGTGGCACCCAATAACTGTAACTGGGGCCCTGGTGGCACCCAATAACTGTAAATGGGGCCCTGGTGGCGCCCAATAACTGTAAATGGGGCCCTGGTGGCGCCCAATAACTGTAAATGGGGCCCTGGTGGCGCCCAATAACTGTAATCGGGGCCCTGGTGGCGCCCAATAACTGTAATCGGGGCCCTGGTGGCGCCCAATAACTGTAAATGGGGCCCTGGTGGCGCCCAATAACTGTAACCGGGGCCCTGGTGGCGCCCAATAACTGTAAATGGGGCCCTGGTGGCGCCCAGTAACTGTAAACGGGGCCCTGGTGGCGCAATGGTTACGTGCTCAGCTGCTAACTGAAAGGTTGGCAGTTTGAACCCACCCAGGGGCTCCTTGGGAGAAAGACCTGGCGATCCGCTCATGTAAAGATTATAGCCAAGAAAACCCTATGGGACAGTTCTACTCCGTCACATGGGTGGCTAGGAGTTGGAATCCACTCAATGCACACAACAACACAACGATAACTGTAAGATAGGATTCAGTAACTCCCGTCAAGGTCACTGACACGGACCCAGTGAGCAGCCTGGTGGAGATTTCAATGAATTGGGATGGCAGCAGTCTTCCTGAGGTGGCTATGTGCCCATTTTAACCCTGGGAAAATTTAGAGTGTATGCAGAGTCCAAATCCTAGTGGTGATGTTTTACATTAGGAAGGAAGTTGTGCATTTTGAAATTTTATATGCCTGTAATATTTAAAAGCATATTAGAATGAAAGCTTTGAAACTTTGATTTGGAACATATAATTGGGTGATTCAGGTTTAAAATTGAACTCTTATTAAGTTTACGCACAGCTTTGGAACATCAAAGATCATGTTAGCACTACTGTTTATAACTTTAATCTATTAGAGTTAAAAAAATTATTTGGAATTCAGGAAGGCATTTGAAGCATTTAAAATTAATGTAAGATGTTAAATTCATAATTGTAGTTTAAAACCATTGAACATATTTAATTAACATTGTTGAAATTAACTGAGCATTTTCAAAGCTCCTTAAAATGCTTGCTGAGGAGCTGGGGACGGGTGGGATGCAGAACTCAAATTCTAGTAAGAAGACCAGGCTTAATAGTCTGACAGAGACGGGAGAAACCCCGGAAAGCATGGCCCCCAGACTGTCATCCCAGAACTAAAACCATTCCCGAGGCCAACTCTTCAGACAAAGATTAGGCTGGACTGTGGGACATAAAATGATACTCGTGAAGAGTGTGCTTCTTAGCTCAAGTAGATACATGAGACTAAATGGGCAGCTCCTGTCCAGAGG